AGACGGACAGACGACAGGTAAACGGAAATCGACATTTCTCTAAAAACTGACTAAACAGTTAGTCGAACAGTGATAAATCCCTTGTTTATTGTATCGATTGGAAGTCAGATTTCACTGGATGACAATAAATGTGACTGTTAAATATATTGTGATCGAACGTAAAGAAATAAGATGTTATTTTTCACTAGTTAACAAACTGACGGAATGTAGTTTTTCTTACCGCAAATAACATTAAGGCAATTTGAAAAACTGGAATATATGAAATGTTCAGATGTAATAATGACATTTGGGTGTATTTAACATTTTCTGTTCAATTAGCATTTTTGTAGTAAGTATTAAAAAAACACTGCCTGACAAAAAAACCCGAACACTTGAATATTTGTAAATTTACGCTAATGTTTGTGTTATAACTTTTTTTTTACTTTTTTTCTATTTCCACATGTTGTAGAATAAAATAATGTTTTTTATTAATGAATACATTAATGATGTGCTTTTCGGAATATCTTTTACAAAAGTTTGACCAGTTGCAAGTAATTACAAAAAATTCAAGCGTGCGAGTTTTTTTGTCTGGCAGTATATTTTGTAATCATTCAAGGCACGTGCGTATCTATTCGTAATTTCATATATTATTCCTTTGCAGAGTAGTAGGTATATTATAATGCATATATAATATATATTGAATCGTGTATTCGGTCATTATTCCATTAATATTACATGATCAATAATTTTGGTAATCACCGTAATTTATACAATATTTCCAAATGACAAAAACATGGGTCTTATCTTATCGCAACAGTTAGAAATAACGTGAATATGTTGTTAAAAAGCAACAAAATTTGTTTTAAATTATTCGGACGTTTTACATATACGTTGGAGCCTAATCTTCAATAAAGATTCATTAGAAATATTGAATAAATTGTTTTTTTAAATTATTTTTGAAGAAACTGAAAATATGGAATTATTTCATGCAGTCATTACTTCTGGACATTCTCTAAGCAGTTGTAAAAAAAATAATTTGTCTAGATAATGCCAACGTGTTTGTGTTCTTCGATTTTGTGAGGTAATAAACTTTATAGTGAAGTATGTATATCTAGATTTCTCGGTGTTTGGATTTAGATGACGACGAATTTCTTCATAAGAAACCTATTATTTAATTTTGTTTGTAACTGTTTGTAATTTAGTGTGACCGCCAAGATACTAGCTAGCACGCAAAAAATGGAACGTAAACCTGAAGAATAGCAGAAGATAGGGTTTGAAAAGTAGGGAACTAAATACAATCAAATTACAGTGTTTCTCAAGAATCTGTCGTCATATTACATAAAGCAACATAAATTTTAAGAGAGAAAGATATACGGAGATCTAACCAAATTTTGAGATGACGTTATCAAATTTTTGGTGGGAATGAACAGATAACTTTTCATTAGAGTTATACTAATACATATGTTACAGTAATCAGTGCAACGTATTGTTACGAAAGAAACCCATACGCCACCCCGGTACGACGCCTATGGGTCGTCGAGAGCTTTCTAGTAGGTATGCACGGCAATGACAGGTGATTTATCCTTGGTGACGGCGGCCGAGCGGCGTTCGAGAAGCCTGGAAGCGGAAGTCACGATTCGAGAAAGACTTCGATCGCAGAAGTGTGGGTTTAAATAGAGACCGCCTTCGGGAACGATTATTATTCAGCCAGTTGAGTCAAGAAAGTCCAATCAAGTTTTACCCACGCCGATTTTATTCACCGATCAATGTAACAATATTTATAGCCAGTACACAGAAAATAACGTAAGTATATACAAAAAGGCAGATGACGACAGACAGAAACGCCTGATCTACATTTTTATATGCTACAAGCTGTGAAACGTGTGAAGCAATGAGATGAAACACCTTTTTAAAATAAGTAGTAAATAATTAAAAATTAAAAAAAAGTTCTAAAAAAACAAGCAATTAGTTAAGTGCGGGAAGTTTTTTTCCAAGACATTCTTCCAAAAAAAATAAGGATTTTATGCCCTCTTTCATCATTTATTTTGTTTTTATTTATTTTTCAGGCTCTAGCACACTGGCCTCATGGTTACGGATGAAATGAATTCCTCAATTTTTTTTGTATTTGTTTCAAATATGAGGTGCGGATTCGTTTTGCCTAGGGTCCTAAAAATTGATGTATCTGACCCCTGCAACAAGTACATTTACGATAAAGGTTCGTTATTTTTTTCTAGTATAGAATATAATAAATGTTAAATTATAATTAAAATAAAAACATGACATAAATCAACGTTGTAAATAAAAATAATTCATACTGTTTATGAAATTATGAAATTTCACTGATATATGTTTTTATTTTAGGATGATCTCATTATTCATGTTTATAAAGCAATTAACCACGTCGTCGGGTATAAAGACCTTGCATTAGTGCGTCTTCATTTATAATAGCAAATAAGCCTAATTTTCGTTTATCAATTTTTAGAAACGAAGTGTATTGATTTAATTTTGCTTGTTTAGTTTGTTCTAGAATTGTAAAGACCTTAACATTTTATAATTACTTTATAACACGTAGTTGAGAACGACCATACATTAGGTCTCCGTCGATACGAGTCTGGAGTAAATTACTTTTTAAAAGCATTGGTAGGCAGTTCGTTTATTGCTTTTTAGTGTAACGCGTTAGCAACAATTTGTTCATGCATTTCTGGTTGACAGTGAACATTTTTTTTCAATACCAACAAACAAAAATTTTTACCGATTATTCGTGTATTAGGCATCCATGTTTTACGTCTAAATAAAGTTAAGAATAATACATCCATTTTATCAAAATCTGGACATTGTCAATACAATATTTTTTATATTAGTACTTCTGATAGAGGTCGAAAACCCATGAAAAGAATAAATCATTTAAATTACTACGTACATTATTTCTATCATAAAGTTTATGATCAATGAATTGTCAGATATGTATGATTATATTTTTTTCAGGCATTTGGTTTATATTAGACACTATTGTGTAATAAATTCGAAGATACTTATCTATTATGAAATTGGACATGCCTTAGTGTAGAAACCGATAATTTTTATCGACGAACTTGAAGAAACAATAGTCAATTTTTTTAATTAATAAATTTAATGTTAACGTAGATCACATACCTACATGTGATTTAATTATTTTCCAGAATTTTGTTCTTCTAACTTATTAGTAACTCCTTGATATCTGGAACCGTTTAAGGACAGTAAACAATGCTTTTAAATTCAACAAGTATTCTAAAAATTGCTTCCGGTTCCTTAAGCATATTACGCGGTTTTTCGCTGTCTTTCCATAAGAAGATACTTCCTGCATAGTAAATTGCACGTACTAAATTGCCGTAACAGCCTAGATATTAAATTAAAATGTTACTAATGTAATTTTGAAAATTTTTTACAACAAAATTTACTAAATAAGGTGTAATGTTTTTTGTAGTGTTTAAAATATGTAAATGAAAACGATTTATTCAGTATAGTAAACAATATGATGTGTCATCACTCATCAGTCATCACCTTGTCTAGTCAAATAATATTCATCTTTCATTTTTAAATCTCTCTGCCAACAAAACCTAATCAAATAAAAAAGTGTCATATGTTAATTTGATTAAATTATTAACTTTGGTGGGATCTAATTTGAGGCTTGTTGGGGACATGAAAAATCTTCTGGTTTCAAATTATAGATAAGATTTTGTCATAATGAGCTGCAAAATTTATGAAACGGAACTAAACTGATGGACAAAATTAACACTTCACCAAAAATTGAGTTAAAATCTATTCGAAAACCGCTATACCAATACAAGGTAACCTTTGTTGTACCAAGTTTGTTGCCATTTAATAGGTTAGCACAAGTGATGCAACCGCATCTGTCAACCATAGTCAACTGATGAGTGCAGTAATTATAGAATGAGAGATCATTCCCCGGGGAACTACCGAAAATTTAATCTCTAACAAGCGAAAGTAGATTAATGAGATAATGAGTAGGGAAAGATATGTGTGCTGTTAAAATCATTTTCAAGCTATTAATTAGATTGCATTTGGTTTTTCTCGTCTATTTATTTTTACGCATTCTTAATAGTATTTTAAGACTTACATTCATTCAAAAACGAATCACGTAAAATAAGATTGTATTCCACTGAGGTCGTTTGAAAATGATCATCACCTTTATCTATAAAGCATATATGTAAAGGTTCCATTAATTGACTGTAGGCAAAATTATATACAAGTATATAGTTAGTTAAGAAAGTGACGAGCTAATTTTGTCTGTGGGTTTATGTTATCAATTTACAGAATAAATAACAACCCCGTGTTAAAATGAGGGAATTTATGGATAAAAAAAAACTTGTCTTAATATAGTCCCTCGTTTAAAATAAATAATAGTCTGTTATTGGTGCCATATCAAGGAGAGAAAACTGTTGTAGTGTCAGATGCACAGGCAATCAAAATACTTCATTGCACCACTTCGTCGAAGATCGGTGAATAAAGTAATTTTAATGCTCATTTCAACTGGACGCGTTATGCAAATATTTATGAAATGTGGTTATGTTTCTTCCAGGTACTAAAAACATCATCACTTAAAAAATTTCGTTTCAGTCGCGGCCCCCCAGCGTGCCAACATTAAAAAATAAATATTGTGGCCGTATCTGGCCCATGTTTTTTAATCGTGAACCGTTTCATTTAAATCTCGTAATCCCCCAAGACCCGAACTCATCGCGTGTATAAAACTTTAAACGATCCGAAAAACATTCCGTAATCCGTAAAGTTTTCACATTATCGGTTGATAGCAGCCGAGTCTGGCCAGCATGCCAGGTAATAATTAGCCAATGGCGTGCAGCGTACTCAGCTGGGTCGATGTGAGAGTTATCCATTATTAAGCTGGGCTACTGCCTACCTGTGCGGGGGCGAACATAGCCTCGGATACCTGCGAGCTTTCATATGGAGCATACGGCGAAGGCAGGAAGTTTTCAGGCCCAGGCATTAGATGGGCCAGGTCCAGGATCACGATGGTGGGAGACGCTCTCGATGGTGGGGGCAGATAGGGACCTCTCACCATTGGATATCTGAGTTTTCGCTTTAGTGTTCCGTTCCAGCGTTCGTTGTGTACGGGCTTGAATTGAATCTTTACGAGTGGAGCTTTACGCGTGTTTTACGAGTGTGCTGTTAAACTATATTTTAATTTTTATTACTCGAATTTGGTGCATTTTTTTTTTTTGTTTTATTCGACGCCTCGTGCGGATTATGCTATGTGATGATTGGTGAGTTTTATTTTTGCTGTAGGTAGCATGATGCGTTTAATGGTTAAAGATGAGGTTATTTTTAATTCATTAGATGGTGCCTTCTTCAAAAATTAACGAATCAAATGTAGACGTGAAAGCGACCGTCGTTTACTAAGTCATGCTTATTCGCAGTTGTCTACGGTGTGGGTTTACGGATCATTAATTTGGTAATAGTGTAACGATTATTATTATACGAACACAATGTAATAAGGTGCATTCAATTTTGACGTAATAGAGCCTGGCTTGGTAGTATTAATTTATTTGTGATGGTAGAATTTATTAAATTAATAGTTATTATAGTGCTTCATTGCAACTAAGCGAAAATGAAGGTTTATGGCCGGCCACAGCTTCATTTTCATTTTATAATTATATCTAATTGTTTGTAAAGCTGTATGTGCTATGCTGAAAAATTAGTTATTTTAGTAGCACAATTAATGGTAGAAGATAGAAGGTAAGAAATTGGAAAGCAAAAAACATATATTGAAGGGCAATATTTTGATAGATGTAGGTAATGTCTTCCAGTATTAGTGATTAAATATAATGTATACAACGATTTTCGGTACCGATAACACAATGAATGATTTTGTTTTTCCTATAATCATAGCGAACACTTTGATGATACCACGGGTCATAAAATTCAAATGTCTTCAAGGCAAATAAAGGTAAATAACCTTTCATTCGTTTCAGAAGTTAAGCTTTTATCATCACATAAATTATATGGTCTAATTTAAAATTGTAAATTCAGGTAAGAATTTTCTCAAAAAGATCTGAACTATTGATTGTTACGTAGATACAGTTAAATTGATCAATGATGTTTTAGTTAAATATTATATTGTTTGTTTTGCCAATATTTATAGCAAAAACGCAATGTCAGCAACGTTTTAGAAAATTTTCTTTGAATAACGTAGAGGTATACGGTTAAATATGTTAAATATCTTTGATATTTTTGTCAATGTTTTGAAATCGGTACCTGTATCAACAACGACCATAATTTATGATAACATATGTATTGCTAATTTCTGCGTATTAGGAACGTTCAGGTAACGGTTTAGATAATAATTATATTCAAACTTCCAAACTATTTGTTCTATTTTTCGCAAAATTTATTTTGCCTTTAATGGAAAAGAATAATCGGTTTATAAACTATTAAATACCAAAAAAGAAGTTTCTTCCAATAAATTAAACAAATTCCGTAGATTAATAAGAACTAAATCAAGTAGTAAGTAGTTTCAAATTGTTTGCAATAAAATTATATGCCGGTATCGAAATCAATTCACTTCATGGTATAGTATTACAAACGGTTGTATTATCAGTTAATTTTTGTGTGGTCAAAACGAGATTACTAAAACAATGTTTCATCAGTAAGTAAACATAGCCTGTGATCAAAGTCGCTGTAACTTAGAGCAGATAAATCATTTATTGGATAATATTTTTTATATGAAAATATATAGTAAATGACTCACGCCACTGTGTTGTCACGTCTTTATTAATAACCACAAAACTGTTTCATTTAACAATGATCGTCGAGAATTTTTTTGCAAGAGAGATTCATGTAATTAATATCACACTGGGGAGATAAACTTGGGCTGAAAATCAACCTTTTTCCAAAGATACGTTTATTGGAGAGAAAGAATATTATTGAATATCGACTTATAAATTGTTGCTTTTGTAGTAATTTTCTCCCGATTTTGTTTAGACTATACGTTTGCCTGTATTGCTATACCAAGCACGTCCAAATTATAGTAAAATATTGAAGATTCTGTACCTACTACCACTTTCCAGTTTTCTGTAAAAGTCACTCTCATGTGTCATTTGTTGATCACGTCCTTTTAACATGGTACACTCCTTAGTTAGTAAATTTTAATAACTGCGCATGACCTAATTAAATACAGAATACATAATGTGAAACTTCAATATTAACAGTAGTAATTATGACACTGCAATGAATAATTACAAATTAATAAATTTTGGTAGAATCGAACAGTGGAAGTTTTACATCCTGCAGATGAACCAAATATATTGTTTTATTTAATTAATAAGTATGTAAATAACTGTTATGTTTAGAGCATTTTTTAGATTTAACGATATTTTATATCCACAAATTTGGTCAAGGTCATTTGGTGGAAGAGGTGATCCAGATTTGTTTTTCAGGCATTATCTAACTGACCAAATCTGGAGTTGAGCATTGTATGAACAACAAACTCATAAAGTATTTTTCCCGACTATATATTTTCAGACGTATCTTAGTTTCTTTACGGTCAGTGGTTTTATATCACATGTAGCTTTCATTCGTGGGTGACATGTGTATGTAATACAGAATATAAGACACCTAGTATATGTATGTAAATATATTTTCGACTGCAACATAGAGTTATGTCATATAAAAGTGTTCCGTTTATTATATTGGTGAACCACTAATATAACTTAAAAATTACATATCTTCTTTTGTATGTTCTTACCAAACAAAACATCAGCCACACAAAAGCGGACATAAAGGCCAATTTTACTAATATGGAAATAATTTATCAGTGTTTGATCTATTTCCTGAGAATAGAAAATTCGATAAACAGTAGAAAGACAATAAAACGAGTTAGTGCTTACGTCATCTGTGTACCTAAATTACCAACTAGCGTGCCAAGTATAAGAAAGTTTATACAAGTCGTTGCTGACGACGAAATAAAAAAAATCATTCAGTTCTGCGCCCGCCAAGATCCACACAAGCCTCATTACTTTTAAACAGAAACGACATCGATTTGTGAATAATTGATGCTTTCCGTAAAACCACGTCAGCTAATTTATGTCGTGTATTTATTGGAAGTCAAATCGATGTTCACTATCCTGATCGTTGCGGTTTACCTGACTGTTGATGTTGGAGTGAAATATATTTGATCCTTATTTGGTTGGTGGTATTCCAAAAAACTGCAAAAGGCATTTAATTCACCTTTCCTTTACAATTATGTCAACATTATTTACGATAGAGTATGCACTTATCGCTAAAATATTAAAAGGGTCGTAAAATTAACTGCATTGAGGCAAAGTATAATCTCTAGAACCTTTTATAAAACAGTAAAAAAGTGCCACACAAGCAACTTTAATATCTCTTCTTTAACCCACACAGAGCTATAACTTAGTCTTAAGCCTCATTATATATGGAAATATTTATAATTCCCTCGACAAATATTTTTTCTCTCGGAACGGGGATGCGTTTGTTTAGGCTACGCTCAGGCGCTTTATACATTGTGCACATTTTCAAGTGTTCAAGGACGAGCTGAATTAAATGCGTTCAGTATGTGGTTGACGTATTTTTAAGAACAAGTGTTTGTGACCAAGTAGTTTTGCCGGCCTCTAGTTTTTTACGAATCATGCATAAAACATTTCTATTAAAATAATTCCCCTCTCTTTTTTGCTCTAACGCGCTTATTTTCGAGAAAGGAATCCATTAAAACGAAATCACCTCAGAAACCAGCGAATCATCCCCTCGTAGGTGGATGGATGAGTACGACGGGAGCTTCCCTTTCTCATATCGCGTTTCTTAACAGTCGTTATCCAAACCGCCATGGTGTGTCTCATTTTACACAAACATCCTTAAAACTTTCAACCATGTAAATAATCATGACATTTTTACGAGTGAATCTGCCTCCTAAAAGGAAATAATATTTCAGTAGTTACTTTATATTCTCATAAATAAACTGGGCGAGTGCTGATTTATTCTATTTTTATAATAGAAGTTCCTTTTGGTTGAAGCAAGCAAGCTAATAGGTTCAAATGCATCTGTGGGATAACGTAAGCCAGATACGTCGAGCGCGACTGAGTAAATTTATTTAGATGATAAGAAGGCCTGAATTCTTGATGAAACGATGTACTGATCATACACTTCATTCTTTAAGACACATGACAGTTTTATGGATTTTCGTAGAAAAGTGGACTAATGTTTGGTGCGTTTATGAGTCATTTCACCAATAAAGTATAATTTACGTTTTGTAAATTATAACTGTTTATTAAATTAACTAGGGCGAGTGCAGATATTTATGTGGTGAATTCGACAATGGTCTTTATTTTTTATCTTTTTAGTTTTAGCTCAACATTAAATAAAATTAGGGCGAAAGTTCCAGCAACACCACGATTTTTTAAATATTTTTGAGAAGACTGTTAACTTTGGAGATAAAATGGCGGTATTAATATTAATATATTCAATGTAGTATTAATGACAATGCTACAATGTTAGAGAGAAATTGAAATGAACTGCTTTTTAAATAATAAAAATATGTATTTATGTTCTTCACTTTAATCATGAGTCTTGTAGAGAGTATAAATAAACAAATTTTGTCAGTATTCTACAATCAATAGGTCAGTCGTAATGTTTACTGAAATTTATAAACAATCCAAGGTAGAGTTTTGAAGACAGATTTTTAAATGTGCTTCTAAAATATTTTTTTTGATCGAATATATGATATGTGCAAAATTAAAGTTGGCGAAGGGAAAAGAACGTGTCCTGCTGAATATTGTGAATGATATTTACATATTTGAGAAAATTTTCTATTTTATGAAAAAGATAATTAAAGAAATTCTTTATAAAAAAAATATTAGGAGTATTTTATAACCTTCATAAAATATTTTATAACCTGTAACAACTAAATTTTAGATTAATCGAGTCGATAGTTTCGGAGCGTAAGTTTTCAAAAAATTTCAAAGGCAGATGTGGAGGCCGGAAACGGACTTCTTCGTGAGATGTGAAAAAATTAGTAACATAAAATTATACATGTCAAAATGGCACTATTAGCCAGCACGAAGAAAGTGATAAATATGAAGTCACAGTGAAATAACTGTCGGGCCTATCTGTAGAAGTGTTTCAAGAGTATGTATTAACTCGTGCTCGAATGTAATTTCTTAATTATTTCATATTTGTTGACATTCTTAACGATATGTAAAGACTAATATTTGTCCAATCGGGTTACTTATGGAAAATATAATGACGTAAA